GGCTCAGGTTGTCCTCGTGCCCGCCCGGCCCGTGCTCCCCACCCGCCCGCCCCTCGCACCGGCTCAGCTTGGCTGTCAGCTCCCGCACCGTCTCCCGCTGGTCCAGGATGGTCTCCTTCTGGTGCACCACTGTCTCCCGCAGGTGCAGGATGGTCTCTTTGGCCTCCTCCAGTGTGCCCGCCCAGTGCCCCCCGGCCCGCGGCTGCGGGGCCTGCTGGCAGCCCGTCTCCAGCTCCAGGGGCATGGGGCTGCAGACGAACTTGGGCAGGGCATACTCCCCCCTGCCGCCGGGCACCCAGCAGAGGGCCCAGAGGAGAGCCCAGGCCAGCCACATCCCGGCACCCGCCGGACCCCTCGCCACCGCCCCAGCCTTCCTCCCACGGAGGCGCCCGGCTGATTTGTGCCAGCGGCCGGTTGGCTCGGTGAGCAGCTGGGACTTTTCTGTTTCTCGCCGCCCCCCGGCACCATCCCGTCCGGCTCGATTTCCCAAATCCCCTGGTGATGGGCGGAGGGCGCCCGTCTCCCAGGAGACGGGAGAATTAGACGGGCAGGTTAATGGGCTTAAGGAGTCGTGGCAAAGCTCCCCCACCCACCCCTGGCAACGGGACCCAGGCGTCCTACAACCAAGCTGGCAGGGATCAGGGGCGTTTGGCAGATGAAAGGATTCTAAGGAACTGGGAGGGATTTAGGGAGGGGAAATGACACACCGGGACACCGGGGGGCTTTCCACAGCCACCGAGAATGAGCCCCCCGCACGGCGCGGGGGTGTGTGTGTGTGTGCGCCCAGAGCCAGACATCTTCCCTGGGTCAATCCGGAGTCACCCCTCCCTGCAGTTGGGACAGGGCCGGGTTCTGATCTAAGCTCCTGGGGTCAATCCGGAGTCACCCCTGCCTGCAGTGGGGACAGGGCCAGGTTCTGATCTCTGCTATCCCAGGGTCAATCTGGAGTCACCCCTGATGGCATGGGAGTGAATCCAGATTTGCACCAGGGGGCCATGGAGTTTACAGTTAAGCCCCCCCACCCCGAGCCATGGGCTGTTGGATATAACACAGTAAACAATCCAGCTTTATTCTGTAGAGCACCTATATACACGGCGGCAGGTGTCACTGCCCCCTGCTGGCTGAATAAGCCCCGCTCACCGCTGTGTCATAGTCCTCGTACCGCACCAGGCGGAGGGGGAGTCTGAAGAGGCTGGGGTGTGGTTCTCTCCCTGCAGCCCCAGGCTGGGGTTACTCGACCACGTTGAACTGAACCATCCCCGCGGCTTCCCGGCCGTCCCCCAGGGCCTCCCGCAGCTGGGTCCAGAACACGTCCTGGGCCTCGGGCTGCTCCGGCCAGTGCAGGTAGCTACGCTGCTTCACCAGCTTCCGCAGGCGGTGGTAGGGGGAGAGGCTGCAGGGGGGAGAGGCCGAGATCTGAGCCCCAGGACCCACGGCACAGGGCAACCGCGCCCCACAAGCTCCCCCAGAGCCAGCACCACCCCCTGCTCCCCACAGCACCCCCAGGAGTGCCCCCCAGAGCCAGGGCCACCCCCTGCTCCCCACAGCACCCCCAGAAGCTCGCCCCACAGACAGAACCCCCCACACACACACTCCCCACAGTGCCCCGGGAGCTCCCCCGCAGCCAGTGCCCCCCTGCTCCCCACAGCGCCTGTGGGAGCGCCCCCCACAACCAGCACCACCCCCTGCTCCGCACAGCGCCCGTGGGAGCGCCCCCAACAACCAGCACCACCCCCTGCTCCCCACAGCGCCCCCGGGAGCGCCTCCCACAGCCAGCACCACTCCTGGGAGCACCCCCACAACCAGCACCACCCCTGCTCCACACAGCGC